TCATTAATTTCAAGATGGCTGCCACAAATACCTGTCTCTTATACACATCTAGATGTGTATAAGAGACATGTGTGTGCGTGTGTGTGTTTGTGTGTGTGGGTGTGTGTTTGTGTGGGTGTGATAGTACCAGTGATCGAGAACACGATGTTGTATTAATCCTATCAAGCATAGCGCAACGAAAATTTAGTTATTTAGTATAAAAAGAGTATCCTGTTGGTAATAATCCTGCACCCTCTTGCTATCAAGGCAAGTAATTGTACCATTATACCAAGGAGACATATACGGTATATGCGCACATCTAGACACCAGGCACTAATCGTCTTCTATCTAACGCGTACGTTACCATTGTTCTTCCACACAAGTTTAACTAAAGTCACCATCATCTCTAACCACTTTAAAAAAACACAGATTATGTAAGTCTACTTACCAAAGCGATTCGTTGTGTCATGATATTTTTTTATATTACTAATTACAATTATCGCATTTGCAACGTGTAGCTAGTTATTGTTCTACAGCTATTGTCAACCTGCTATTATTATGTGTATTCTCCCAGGTCAGCAAACTTTGCTTATCAAAGTGTGGTGGCGCTATACTCACATTCTTAAACTACTAACAATGTACAGTAGGCCTACACTCAGGTAAATAATTGTCTCTATGGGACATTTGCGTCTGTTAATAATTTAAATGTCTTAATAAACACTATCGAACAATTTTAAAATTAATAATTTACTGGTACTAATTATAAAGTAATCAATCGTAATCGCCTAGTTTTTACGGTTTCAGGTTTCTACCTCTGGTTTCAGGCTGTTCATTTCGTTAAATTTAATACATTAAACATTGTTTAGTGATGGGAAGAACAATTTCCGTCACCATTCACCCATCCCATAAAATTCTTTCCCTGTGAGCTACAATAGAATAACACAGCACTTTTATACTAGTACAAGAAAAATACATCTTAGGGTTGGAAAAATTGCAACAGAATTTCTGTTTGCACAGTGCATTTTCTTAAGGTCTTTATATAAACATACTAAACTAGAGATTGCAAATTGCAAGAAGTGAAGGGCTGCGAAGTACAACTACATATAAATGTTCTTCGAACAAAATTATTTATGCGAGTCAGGTGAAAATAATGAATAATAAAAATATAACAAATAATATGAGACACGACCCATTATATTAGAACACTTCTCATTGGGTAACAAAGTCGTAATTTTTCATTTTTGTCAAAATGTGTCTATAGTGGTGAATTATGGTTTAGGTTTTTTTTAAATAAAGTTTCAAAAATGTCTATGTACAGTATGTGGAAAATGTAGTTGATTACCAAAGGTTACAGTTTTTATTTTGAAGACTGCATGGTCTAGGAAGTGCATTTTTTTATGGGGCAAGTTTCCAAGGGCGGGTTTTCTAGGGGCGAGTTGACTGCCAAAGATTGTTGCCAAAGTGCGAGCCAGCATGTTATTTGATCAAAAGTGCGAGATATCCCAAGTGTGAGTAGGTGTGAGCCAGCGAGCCATGACGTCACGACAATAGATACGAGACTTTACTCGAGTTGTGCGAGGTATCGGCTGAGATTTGTGGAGTACAATTAAAAAAACAACTATAGGTCTAATAATGAATTATTGTGATGTTAAATAGACAATGTTAGCTATCAAAGAGCGACGTTGTTTTTCATTGGGATCTTCGTCCCTTCAAGGTTGGCCTATACCA